ACCTCTGGCTCGGCTGAAGGAAGGAAACCAGCAGTGCAGCACAATGGGTGTGAGATTTGAACTCCCCCCCCCCCCCCCCCAGTCTCTCAGTCCTGCTACCAGGGAGGAGCAAGTGGGGTAAACATCTGGAGTTCAAATGTCACATCCATTGTGCTGCACTGCTGGTTTCCTTCCTTCAGCCGAGCCAGAGGTGAGATGTTGCCGCGTGTACTCCCAAATCAACAGGGCAGCGCTCACGTGCACGTTGAGTGAGCGGGTGACCCCTTGTTGAGGGATCTCCACACACACATCAAACATCTGAAGTAGATTGGCAGGAATGCCTTCTCGTTCATTGCTGTAAGAAGGAAAAGAGAAAACCAACAAACTGTAGAGTGGGACAGAAAAACAGGAACACTTTGCATCTAGTTTACAAATGAGTTTTTCATGTTCGGTGCCACAAAGTTTGTAATGAAGCCACTAAGAGCCGAGTTATTTGGTGCTGATTTATAGATATCTTTAAAGGAATAATTAAAGAGTTTGGAAAATATGATTAGTTTATTTCTTGCAGATATTTGCATGAAGAGATAATTATAAGATATAAGATGTTAATTAGTGAGCTTTAGAGGTGCTGGTGGGTCTATTTTGTTATCTTTATGCTAAGCTAAGGGGCTGTTGGCTCTAGCTACATATTTATTCTACAGCCAAGAGAGTGGTATTGATCTTTTCATCCTATACTAAAAATAAGCATATTTTCCAAAATATTAAATTATTCCTTTAAATTAGAGTTTTGTAAGACAGGAAAGATAATTCACAGGGACATAAAACAAACCCACTGGAATGTAGACTAACCTCAAAAGAGAGATTTTATGAGCACTTCTGTGTCACAGTAAATTACTTACAATGGAATGTCCATCCTGTCGGCAATAAGGCAACATTGACTTCTTCATATCCGATATAAAACATCCGGCCGTCTGTTCCCTCAGTTTAACCCTGATGTGTCACATCTTTACCACAATCCACAATGTTTTTTGTGCCTGGATGTTTTTTAATTACAGCTTTCATGAGGCCTAACAATGTTATCCAGTTCGTTTCATTTAGGAAACCTTAGCTGGAGCAGCCAACTTAATCCTTGATCATTTTCACAACTCATGAGCTCAAGTCCAAGAGCCATTCAAACTGTAACCGGCTGAGTATATACTGCGACCCAGCGATACGGTGCCATGCAAAGCAAACATTAAGAGGTAATGAGTTTGGGGAGTCCACAGAGGGTGCCACACAGTAAGAAAGCCGGATTTGATGAGCTACATTTATAGTGAGTGCAACTGGGTGAGATAATAGCGGCCTGTTGGGAGATTAGAGCTGGTCATGCTGTGCTGGGGGGGGGGGGGGGGGGGAGCGAGGAGGGGGGGGGGGGGGGGGAAGAACAGCTGTGAGAGCACTCGAGATTCAGCTCACACGCAGGCTGTTTAAGCCAACAGCGCTACTCACACCTCTGTGACTGAACAGGACACCTACACAGACGTGATCAATATTAACCCCTCCCTTCGCTGCCAGGCCAGCTGCACGACTGCAGTGCACATTTAGCGAGGAGAGTGAATTATGCCGCTTATAATTACAGTCGTGTTCACTTCTGAGTGGCTACAAATGGTTCAGTGTCCCAACTGATGAAAGCCACAGGGAAGCATCCCGACTCAAACTACACTAGATGGGGGTGAAGGTTTTTCTGCTGCCTTCATCACTCTGCCTGTCTTGGTTTGTGTCATTTATGTCCTGTGTTCTCCTCCTCAGGGAGAACCAATTACAGTCCAGCATGCCCCGACAGGTACACCATGGAGGAGAGAGGCGCAGGCCCCGCAGGAAAACACTCTCAACCGGTGACATAACATTAAATAGCTTCGTCAGCTCACACCTTTATCTGAGTGAAAGTCACAAAGGGCATGGGAAGACAGAGGCTTGCATGTATCTAAGCTGATTTAACTGATTGGGAGTAGGTTCTCGCATTGATGAAAACATTTTCACAGCTTGTACACGACCCAGTCTCTCTGTTCCCATGTGGTACGAGACTGTAATCCATTACCTGGAGGACGATAGGCTAAGGGGGGGACACCAGAAACCAGAAATGGTGGAAGGTGGGGTTATTATCTTTCGCTTATCCAGACTTAGCAGGGTATTCCAGACCTCCTTCTCCCCAGCAACGTATTCCAGACCTCCTTCTCCCCAGCACTGTCTTACAGCTCTTCCTGTGGAACTCCAAAGCTTTCCCTGGTCAGACGAGATATATAATCCCTCCAGCGTGTTCTGGGTCTACCCCAAGGCCTCTTACCAGTTGGACGTGGCTGGAAAACCTCTAAAAGGAAGGGCCCAGGAGGCATCCTCATCAGATGCCCAAAACACCTTAAATGGTCCCTCTCAGAAGATCTTTGCCTTCTGCCTCTGCTCCCTCTTCACTACAACAGTCCGGTACAACGCCCGCATCACTGATGACTCTACATCGAAACACCTGTACATCTCATGCTCCATTTTACCCTTACTCGTGAACAAGACCTGGAGATACTTGAACATACCAGGAGCTATTGCCCCCATCGACACAGGTTCAATGGGGCACACAAACCCTCCAACACGATAAGGTGGCTATTCATTGGAGGGGCAACCCTCTTGTTGGCAACCCCATTCCTTAAAAAAAGCATACATGCTTCAGAAACATACCCCAAAAGTAACAGGGTCTTCTCAGGGAACTGGTAGTCCTGGAGGCTCCGACTGTTGGCTGTCTGCTCCACTCCAACGATACAGTACCCTTCACTCTTCTTTACCTGCAGGAAGTCACTCAGCTCCATTGGCTTCACCTGATGAACAGATACAGTTCAGAATCTTAATAATAATAATCTTTCCATTTTAAACAATGACTCACAAAATCAAGATCAAGCAATGTCTTTTAAGCCCTTTTCACCTTTGTGAAAATCTGCTACTCCAGCCTGTCACATTGTGACCTCATCAAAAGCAGATGTGAACACAGAAGATGAACAGATGCTCAGATGAACAGATTTGGATGACTAAAGATGTATGACTAAAGAAAGAGCTTGGGTGAAGCTCGAGTGGAGGTAGCATTTAGCATCCGCCACTTCTAAATGAGAAAAGGAGATTGTTCCCAAACATGCACCTCACAAAACGTTTCAAATGAACTAGAATTTTTCTAGATCACGACCAAGTCACACAGCATCATAACTTAATTTAGTTATTGAAACCATAATGTCATATTGAAAAATATAGTTTCCTGGTAATTCAAGTTACCCATTAGAAAAACTACAGCTTACTGCTGCATCGGCTTCGGCATCCACCTGTTCCGTCCCCTGCGTGTTCTCAGCATTGATTTTGACTGAGATCATTTAAACCCTGAGCTTAGCCGGTCAGAATAACATATTCTCAGGTCACTAGCCCGCTGGGGGGAGAGCTTATAAACGGAGCAGACATCATGATCACTAGAGTGAAATGTGAGATTGTTTTATGCACTTTACCTCTAACAGAGGAAGCCACAGCTCAGACGAGACGCTCAGGGACTGAAAGTGTTTGTCACTGAGGTGGCGGAGGCTATCGAGAACCAGAGCGCTGGCCCCGAAGATCTCACAGGTCCTGCACAGGCCTGAAAGCAACAACAAATAAAGAAATGAGTCTGAGATCTATCTACATAGGAACTGAAATATGAATTCCCACAATATGAACCTATGTTTGAAAAAAAAAAAAAAAAGGAAATACACTAAAAGTAAGAAGGGGACTTTATTTTTTACATAATCTGTGGCAGCGATGACTCAGCAGAAAATGGTACTAGTCGATCATCATGGGCAAAGACATATAAAAAGGTACGTCTGTAATGGCAACTGAGAGGGCAATTTGAAGGAAAACATTTACAGAACGGCCAAGCTAATGGTCCTGCTTACATCGTCCAGTGTCAATATTGTTTTGAAAATGGCTCTTTTCCTCTATAAACAAATTCTGATTGATTCAGCCCCTTATCGTCCGAGACAAAAGCAAAGGAGTACACTTGAAGAGAACATAAAATAGGAGTGTGTGATTAAAGCTGGGCATTCCCTGTCATACCAGACATTACCTGATAAGAGGGCTCAAGTGATTGGTTTTAGCCGCAGCTGTGTTTGACCTCTTTGCCCAGATCGTCATTGTGAAACCAAACAAAAGCCTGTAATGTTCTTCACACTATTACACA